GTACCAGAATAAGAAGAGATAGACTCATGAAAATGTGTACTTATGTATGTAACCAGAACATCGAGCTGAGCCGACGTAGGCATATGGCAACCGAACTTCAGTTGGGTGGCCACTGGCTGAAATGGTTTTACAGATGGCAACTGCAAGCTGGCAACTGAGTTGCTATACTGGCAACAGCATTTTTGTGGTCGCTGCGGTAATAATCGAAGATTGTAAATATACCTACAAATAAGGTAAACTTCAAAGTCTAGGGGGGGGGCTCGAGCCCCCCCCCCCCCCCTGCCCCTACGTACCGACGGCCATGTATGTAACGTAAGTTTCCAGTGTTGCCACAAAAAGTAACCAAATTCCTCAAAATCCGAACAAATTACTCAAAATTTTCTTATTACAGATATGCGTATTGTGTACTGCATACTATTTACAGGTTCAAACAAAGTATCACCGTTATTTTTTATGCCTTGGTTTGTATGTAATATTGCTGCAACTATGTCAGTGCTCAGTCTGGTCCTCAAGTCAGTCCTACACATTTTTAAACTACTAAATATACGTTCTACTGAAGCATTAGAAAAGGGCTATATTAGTAATGCAGCTTTAATTTTTTTAAATTGGGTAACTTATGGGAACCTGAAGAATCTTTTAATTCAACAACTTTTCCTATAATTTTCCTATAATGCAAGTTTAAATAAGTTGAAAATATAACGATGGAATGAAAAAAATATCGATAACATTTTGAATATTTAGCAGCAAATGCAGATGTGCTTAAGAACGAAAAACACCACACACGCGGCTTGACAAACCAAGCGAAATATCCCTTTGCTTAAAGCTATTTATATTGTGTAAGGAGGTGTTTGAAGGTTTGACAAGCCGTTTGAGGAAAATGTGAACAAAAACCAAAATTTTTTGATTTTCCGGCGGCCATGTTGACGTCTGATCAAACCGCTTACGTTGTGTATGATAAAATCGCCTCATTCGCAACGAAATGAGGACGCGAGAGAGAAAAAATCGAGGAAACCACACGCTTTTACATTGTGAATCGGAAGAAAACTAAAATTCTTTGCTTGAACGAGTCATGTTTGCATGGTTTATGGCGAAATGGGAAAAGTAGGCTTGAAGAATGTTTGACAAGCCACTTGTGTGGTGTATTTCGCTCTTTATAAAACTTCGGAAAGCTTTTTGTTTTGAAAAATTTGCAGTGCGACTTAACAACTCTCTTGTGAAAAACATGGCTGCATTTGTTATCTGCAAATATATCGAGAGAATATTCCTCAAAATAAAAGTCCTCAAAAAATACTCAAGCGCACCCGAAATTCCTCATGTTTTGAGGAATTACTCACAAAGTGGCAACACTGTTAGTTTCAGTTTTTCAGTGTGGCCGAGGCGCACTTACTTTTTTTAATGTTATACATGCTTTTACCACGGATTCGCATTCGCAAAAATACGTAGCTTTGGTTAAAAACTGTTTTACTGTCCTATAACATTTGGATACCCCCACATACGGGGTTTTGCATGAAATGGGATTATAACTTTGGTACAGAAATAAAAGAGACAGATCCATGAAAAAGTAAACCGAAATGACCAAAACGTCGAGCTGAATAGATTTAGCCATGCCCGACTGTCTGTTGTCCGTCTTTTTGCTTAAACGCAATCCATGACCTTAGTTTTCAAGATATCCCACTGAAATTTGGTAAGCGAGTGTATTAATCATTTGTCGGAACTGAAAAAATCGGACCACTACAGCATACAATTTCCATACAACTGACTGTTCAGATATGATGTTTTTGGTTATAACTCCATTTATGCAGCTATGAGCATGAAATTTCGCGCTGCTTTCACTTATTATCAACAGAGAGTTTACAGTAAAAATAACAAAGATCGGGTCACTATAACCTATAGCCTTCTTACAACTGATATGGGATTTCATTTTAAAATTTTGGAAAGCAAAAACCTAGCGATTTCGTGATCTGTTTTCTAAATAATCATATTCTATAAGCTGTATCTCGCATATCACTTATTGCGCAAATGAAGATCATTTATATCGCTACCCCTGATTATTCATATTTATCCGCGATTTTGTTATAAATATAATAACTCCTTCAGCTATGTATGTGAAGGTCAGCATAGCTTACCACGGCACTGTCCTTCCTTCAACCCATAGCTCTTCAAAAGCGTTAACAACTTAAGAGTATTTACGACCAAATTCTTATTTTTTTGTAGGGGAATTTCTTATTTTCTCTAATAATTCTAACATTATTTGCTTATTCTTTTGGAGCGCGTGGCTTGTAATACCTGCAGTTGAAAAATTTTCAAAATTACTGACTCAAAAGTCGGCTCCATTTCAGAGGTCGGCAACCATTGGAATTGCTGTATTTCTGTATACCCACCTTAGCTATGTCAGTTAAATCGTCGAAACAATTCTGAATCCATAAGCATAACAGGTGCCGCAAGATTTCTGGCTCTTCTTCATTTCTGCAGAAGTCGTTATGGGGAACCTCCGACTTCTCCGCATGCCTTTCAATGGCAAAATTACCTGGTTTGCTGGCATATGGTTGTAGATAAGTACCTTGTGTGAGTTTCGTCTTGTCGTAAGCATTGAGACTTGACCATCTATTGTTTGCTAGTTTAAGAGATAGATCCATTAAGATGTGCTCTCAGGTAGCGAGTGGCATGCCTACACCCTTCCAGGATTGCGACAATGGAACTGATGTGCTTCTTCTTGCAAATTCGCCCGCCTTGTTGCCCGGCCTGTTTCGATGCCCCGACACTTGTACCAAGCGATAGTTAAACTGCTCAACCATCTCGTTTAGGAATCTGTGGCAGTCTGCTACGGTTATTGAATTGCATGTGGCCGAGTCAAGTGTCGAGTCGCGGCCATCATATGACTTTCCTGACGGGTAGTTCCCGTAGCCTGAAAGCGGCAGTTTTTGCGTAGACCTCCATAAGCGCAGAGGAATGCAGTTCTTTGCACCTCTTGAAGTGCTTGGGTTGTAGATTTCTTGTTGAAATTTGTCCACCACCACACCACCACTCTGCACATAAGGCCTAACAACCACGATATATAACATAACGAATGTATGATATTAGAGTATTGCCTCCAGCTCCATCCAATTGCTACGTTACATCTGTAGAAAACTATCGTGGGTTTCTTAACACGCTCTTGTACATTCTGCACACAGCTCAGCCTTTTTTCCAATACTATGCCTAAGTATTTGGCGGATTCCTCTAGCTTCAGTGCCGTATTGCCTATGGCAGGGAGCTGCAGAGGTCCATCTTTCAACTAATCTTAGTTTAATCTGAATGATTTCAAAAATAATTTGTGGGAACTTTCCATTCAGTACCACCGCAAGGTCGTCAGCATTCTCAATGACCTTAGAGCCCCCCTCCTCATTAATGGCTTGCAGCGGTTCATTACTCGCCATAATCCTCCAGCTGTAAGTCGATGACCAAATTCGTTAGAGCCGACGTCATTGCCGCAGCCGTGATATTGTTGAAAGCACCCTCGATATCTATCCAATTCGTGCAATGCTGTTTCGTCGACTTTCTTTTCATACAGACATGCTGGGATGTCATAAGTTTGTTTGCAACCGATTCGCTGAAATAAGATTCAATAAGAAGCACCATTATGTTGAGTTGGAATGATGATAAAATTATGGGTCTAAAATCCTTAGGATTAGTAAGAGAGGTATTTACCGCCTTGGAGATGAAGGCAACTCTTAAACATTGCCCCGATCAACCCGTTGCGTAACAAGTAGAGCACTATCGTAATTTTCCACTTCACTCACTTACTTCTTCCTTTTGATAATAGCCATTTCAGCTCTTCTCCCTATATCGTTTTATTGCGCCTGTTTTTCTCTACAGCGGCCACAGGGTACACTTTGTCAGACCAGCTGCTTCCACGATATAGAGAGACACTCACTTTCTGTAGAGTTACAGTTATTCACGCAGGTAAATAACAGCCGGAATTGAGTACATACATATATGTTGTGACTTCATACCCATTTCCTATTGCATTCCGGGCATGAACTTTTATCAATCACATTAGGTCGTTCAGATGTCTGAATGTTTGGCCGACCTTCTCTTGAATATCGCTGAAACTGGACCTGAAAATGCCGGTGTGGAGTTCTAGACTTACATTAATACGAGCCACCTGTCCACATGTCTGCAGCTTAGGGAAAGTTTTCCAATGGCGATTGAGGAGAATGGATGGCGTAAGGGCTTGCATGCAGGAGGAAGTTGAATTCATGTGTTCACAGATTGTTGAAAACCCACAGAAAACGTTGGGGCAGGTGTCTATTGCCATGAATTAGGAATAAAAAAGGTAATTCAAACTACTAAACTACTTCGGCACCTTCCAAGCGGAAGTCACGACGTTAAAAAGTACCGGAACTTCTCAACTACAGCAACGCTTAGAACAAACTAATTATTTTTTATGTGGTCACAACACCGCGGACACAAAGTATCCCGGGCCATGCTTAGGTCACCTCATCTGCAACTGACAAAGCATATACTTAAACTACCATGGAACGATTGTAGACTTACGGTAAGTCTCATAACTGGTCACAATTTGTTAGCTAACCAAGCTCTTAAAATGCGTTTGCAAAGTGGTAATAACTGAAGTGCGAAAATGAAAAGATAAGGGTGAAGCACATAATATGCCATTGTCCGGCCTTGTCAAATTTACGTCTGAACTACTTTGGGGAGACGTTTCTCACTAACCTAGAGCATGCAACAAAAGACGGGTTCATCATGAATGGTTGTTTTATCCGCTAACACTACGGTCGAAAATATCTTTTCGGCTTTTATTACCCAGCCAGTCCCACCTACCTATCTAATACAATGCAATTGAAATAATAAGCGATTAATTACATTTTTTCATACGTACTTATATAAATGGAGAGTTTTTATTTGCATGTTGCCGAGAGGTTTTTAGCAACTGTACATTTTTAAGGGTTTAACTAAAGTGGATATAAAATATATATTTGTACATGTATATTTATGTTTGGGTATTGGTTGTGCGTGAATGTTTGCAAATGTGTTGACTGCCTTACTGTACTGTAATATTTTCTCATGAATACCGCGTTATTTTCACTTGAATAAAACATCTAATGTACGACGATTTGCAGTTCGAGCATTTCTTTGCCACAGTTTGTAAGTAACTGCATTTCGGAAGCGGACAACAACAGCATTTGGCCGCTGTGACAGACATCTTTGACTTCTTGCGAACGCCGCACCGAATACATCTCACCCGAATGCACCATGTGACAAGCGGGCACATTACCCGACCGTGACCACACCGTTAAACTGACAGCGACGTGGAACTCTTCTGGCACAATGCCGGTCAACCATATCATCAAATACTCGGTATTAGCTTCACTCTCCCAGAAATTCGGATACTCGTGTGCGTCAATACCACACAAATCCGAGAGCCGAATACGCGTACTCATCACTAACAATGGCAGAAAATCTTTGAATTTGCTGCTTCCGAGATCGGTAATTTTGTCGCGTATCAGATAGAGTAAGTGGCATTTGCTATTGCCGCAATGAGCCAACTTCGGGTCGAGAAAGAAATTTTTGCACTGGCGTGGCGCTATGCGCTCCATGGGCAACATGCTGTGATCAACTATCAAATGCTTATTAAAGTCGGAAACGAAGATCATGCGTTGACACGATGACTCAGGACACTTGATGGGCGATCGAGGAATGGTCAGGTGGCAGGCGGGTGTCGGCTTTAAATTAATAAGTCGGCCCTTGGTGAGCAGAAGCTCCGATTCCATAATGTTGGAGCAAGTGACGAGTTGGAATTGAGGGGGTGGCTCGGAACATGGAAAATTGTTCGAATAGTGGGTCACACCATTGAGGGGCTGGCCGATAGGTGGATTGTAAAAGGCGCGATGCGTGTTCGAGAGCTGTGCCATGATATCATTGCCTGGTTTCCCGGCAGGCAGTTCGCATGAGCACATTTGGTCCAGGTGTTTTTCATTAATAAAAGGCATTGTTGGTTCAACTAATGCAGGTGGCTCCAATTGATCCATTATCTTAAAATACTTCTTCGATTGGTCAATGATGGGCTTTTCACTTACATTCGGAGTGCGCGGGTTCTCTTGTAATGTCTCTAATACCTTCTGCATGCGCAAATCAATACTAGGGCGTGCTATCTTGTCCGGATTTGGTATGGTGTCAGGTGTAGGTGCCGCTACGCCAACTGCTTGCATTACAAAATAATCAGGCGGCAAGTACTTGGCAGGAAATTCCGTTTTCTTGGTGCTGGCCAGAGTTGGTTCCGATTCAGTGGATACCGAAGCAGTAGCTGTTTGAATGGATTGGCGGCGATTATGTAAGCCATCTGCAGGCTCACAGGCACTCTCTTGACAACTATGGCTGAATGAATAGGCTGGAAATTGACATAGCGCAAGTGGTCCGTAAGTGCGGAGATAACTCTCTACCAGCTCAGCAGGTTGTGCTGTATTGCGCGACTCGAAATCGTGCAGCTTTTTCGTAGATAAAGATTCTTGAAATTCATAGTTTCGACTATGCGTCGTGGTACTCGTACGGAGAGGCTCGTGCTTTGTTTTTATGATAGGATGGATTGTACCACCGGAAAAGTAGTTTTTCATGCTTTCAGTTGACTCCATAAAACGGATCTCTGAAGTATGTATTACGTCCTCCGTCTCCTAGATTTAAAAAAGCGTAAGCGTTATACTTTGCTACATTTTATTTATGCTCGTAATTTCTTACGTCAGCCCCCACACTTTCTTTCGTTCCCTCCACACCAGGTTCACAGGCACCGTCACACGAAGTGTCGCAGAGATTTGTACGCTCAGTTGTCAGTTGTATGCTTTTTGGTGCTTCTATAACTTCTAATGCAGGTGTACTTGAGTCGCGCGGCTGCATTAGGCGCATGAAACCGTTTTCAGTTCGAAATTGAAATGTGAAATTCGAAGCCGACTGTGGTTGATGATTACTGCCGAAGAATAACGTCTCCATTTGAATACGCTCCTGTGCGTTTGGCAGGTACTGATTCATTGACATGGGTATCGACATGGACAAAGACATTGGTGTGTAGGAAGGCGACAACGATGCAGCAGCTGTGCCGGTGGCAGCCCCCGTCCCCGTCACTGTTGCAGTTGGGATACCATCAAAAGTGTGACTTGGTGCAGGCGCTCGATGTTGTGAAGGCAAAATTTGCACATCATGCATCAAGAGCTGATCCGTTTCACTTTGGTCTTCGCTCATGGAATCATGCGACTCATGCATGCTCAACTGCTCCTGCGAAATACTAGACTGGGTCTCGATGTCGTTGAAGAATGCTTTCGGAAAAATGCATGATGAGGCTGATTCAAGTGTACCAGAGATAGGAAAATTTCGGGTCATGGGCGATGTGTTCCTGTTGCGGTGATTGAAGTTCATCTGAACAAAGAAGGTGTGCTCTTCACAAATACCGCACTGGCCATCGGTGCGATCATTGCAATCCGCGCATTGCATATGCTCATTACCGCACAGATAGCCTCCGAATGGAGTGGTATTCGGACCTATTTTATTCACTTTGCACGTGACACAATTCATAATTTAGCCTCACTCTTCCGGGTAGACAATGGTAAATGTTTCCAAGCAGCTCGAAATGCTTTCTACAATAGCAGACCACTCTTGCACTAGCAATATATACTTTGTTTACAATAATTATGTAGAAAATAAAGGCGACTAAATTTTATAAAAACGCGTAAAATTTTGTGTGCCAAATAAGAAAAAGTGTGCTTATGATTGATGGAAGATTTTGAAATTAAATGAAAAAGTCCCATGATGTAGACACCTGTGTCAGAATTCGAAATGAGGCAGCACAATTAAATCCATATTTTGGCGATTTTTCAATAATTATGTACATGCATATATATGTATGCGCAAACATTTAAAGGAGAAAACCTTCGTCTATGTGAGAGAACTTCGAAGTTTATTTTGGTTCATTACGTTCCCACCCCAAACTGCTTAATGAGCTCAACTTCTTTCTCATCGCAGCTTCTACAGAAATCATTATGCGGGGCTTCGCAGCTGGTGGTCATATGGGTAATACATATTGTCCAGTGTATCTTTAGTGCCCCCGAGAGCAGCCGCTTGTTTCGGTTTAGAGAGCATCAGCAGCGATGCTTCGATTTCTTTTGCCGTGATTAGTCCATAGTTTGCTAGTAGCTGCTCTGACCCTCCCTCAACTTGTGAGAGGAGTACTCTTAGGGGCCTATAGGCTTGAATTTGCCCAAGTCCTCTCTAAAATGCCTTTCTCGTGCTATGCATTCTAAAAGAACGAAGTGAATTTTTGGACGAATGAGATCAATCATTTAAACCAACTGGGCGGCTATGCCAATCGCAAAAATTTTACGGTGAAAAAATTTATGCATATTAGCTAATAAATCTGTAAGCTTCTGTGGTCTTTCGAGAACCGTCAGTTTCAATTGGAATGTGGTTAGATCTACGGCGAGATGTAATTTTTTTCAGTCGTTTTTTTCAATTGTCGTACACATTCATAACGAAGCTGGTTTAAAAGAATTATCCT